GGTGACCGCACACATGAAACGCAGAGCAGGGCTGTGGTGATTCAGGTGGTGCAGCAAGTTATACACATTCAGGTAAGAGCCCCCGCAGGATGACGTAGAAGGATCACTCGAGTGATTATTAAAACACTCTTTGTGCTCGTCTCTGATTGGCTCCCTTGCTAGTAGAAAGTTTTTTAACCCTGCCTTGAGAGCTACCCTCAGGGCGAGCTGTGACATAACGCCCATCGCCATCAGATCTGCTCCCAGCGCACACTCCCAGCGATGATGTTCTTCCCAGGCTTCTTGCTGACAACCAGTTGAACAGTATCGGCTGTAGCTACACCTGTCACATGGTACAAGAATCAGCGTTTCAGTCAAACACCTATGGCAACGCCTGTCCTCCACTCCAAACAACACTTCTCTCTCTCTGCCGTACCGTCCCACCTTCCCTTTCACCTCCTCCATTCCTGGTAGGAGGACACAGCTGTACGGCCTCTCAGTGAGAATCACCTCCCCGGCGGCTATTCTATTTACAGCCACCAGGTGTCGACCTTTCTCCACAGTGGAGTCAACAACAACTTGAGGACAAATCCCAACTGTGAGAGGCCCAACAGATGGTGAATTTGCTGTGTCTGAACCTTTACAATCGTTTGAGGCAGGGTTTTGATCATCCTCCCTTCCCTTTTCATGTACAGAGTGATGTTTAAAGCACAGAGTGCGGCGGTCCTCCAGTTTGTGTAAAAGATGAGAGGGATAGCCATTCTTCACGGCTCTGTCAATGTCATCAAGGCATTCCTGAGGAAAACAGAAAAGCTGGAGCGTAAACCATCACAAAATCAAAGACTGTGAGCAAAACATAGAGATGACAGACTTTTTACTAACTCATGAATTCTGCACTGAACCAGAGGGGTAAGGCTTAGAAACCTGTCATAAGAAGACTGAGAAAAGGAATACTGGAGGCATTTTTTAAGGACAGTAAGCAGTGCTGTGAATGCTACATACAGATTGTACACAAATAAGCACTTTTATCATTCTGACCCATTTCACACGCCTGCTAAGCTGTTGCAAGGTTTTACATATGAAGTATGATTCTGCCAGTTACAGCTCTGGCTATGGTTAGGTAGCCTAGCTATCATAATGATGGTCTGTGCACTGTCTGTCGAATAGGCAGCTGAATTAGGGGGGTCAAAGAAGGTCTAGTCAATGTACTGACACACACATAATTCACAGCTCTCTGTTCTCATCAAACCTGCTGTTGTCTATGCAGAGGACTTGGAAAAGAGCAGTTTATATTTAGGCCAACATGAATTTGAGAGAATTTTAGTGTGAGGACAGCATTTGAGTTGGTGTGGTGGTTGTGATTAGATTTGCTTTAAGTCTGATGTTGAGAGTTTGTACCACACACTTAAACCCGAGATTGACAGTCAATGTGATTCAAAAATAGTTTGTTTAGTCAAGGGACCGAGTATATATTGGAGAGATAGTGTACATATACTGGAATAAGGATGTTTAAGATGGTGCACGCAGAAGGAAAAAGGTGGAAGACCACAGTGAAGATTCATGGACTGCACTGAAGAAGGATGTTTAGAGGGTTGGTATGATAGAAAAAGGATGTCAGGGAAAGGCTGAGATGGAGACAGATGATCTGCTGCAGCAACCCCTAAAGGAAGGAGGAGTAGAAGCAGAGGAAGGAGAAGAAAAAGACTCTGCTATGATTCCAAGAAGAGAAGTTTAAGAAAAAAAACAAAAGAGTTCATTTTGTTCTGCGATCTGAACCTTGGATGAATTAAATATGCAGTAGTGCATTCTTTCCTTGTTGGATAGGTTTACTGTTGACTCATGGCACAAACATTAAAAGCCACTGCGGGTTTAGACCTATAATCCCGGTGATTATGGTTAGGATAATTAACTAGTTTTGTTTTAACTCTTTCTTAATCCATTAGGAGGACCCTTTCTGAACTGAGTGGTTCCTCTCATATGTCAGGTCTGCTTATAGAACAAAATGACTGTGTTTGCACCAGATATTAGTGAGGGTGGTCTCTGCTTATAGAGCTACGCTTGGAAAAACCTGAAAACTATTCTAATAGTCGTCAAACCACGTCTTTATTGACATATATAGAGGTGTCAAAACTCCTCATTAAGGATACTGGGGAGGTTGTTAAATGTCATCTTTATTAGAGAAAAGAGTTAAAGCCAAACCAGATGGGGTTAGGTTTAGACAGTTATCAAGATTTTGCTAAACATGCACAACTTCATAAACTAGAATATCGAATTCATGCTTCCCATTTGAAGGTGTTAAAAATTTAATAAACTGATAATAACTTATTTGACATGTTAGGCTTAAACATGAGAAACTGCAGGAATTACTGCTTTTTAACTTCGCTCAGTTTAACTTTTTAAAAATCTTTTTATTCCTGTTTTTTGGCAGATTAATGTCCTCCCACACACACTTCCTAACAATACAGGCTTATTATACATCAAGTAATGGAGAGCAGGGTTGTTACTGTGGACTCAGCTTGTGCTTCAAAACTCTTACCTGACTTGTGAGGGGAGAACAGTGTGGAATTAGCAGTCAAAGGTGTTTTATAACAGCTTCAAAAGTAAGTAGGATAAATGAATGCCCTGTACAGTTTTGACTTAATCCTAGTGCCTGGCACAAGTTTGAGAAATAGGGTATTAAAAAATATTATAATGCCCGATATTTTTTTATTTAATGAATCATAAAAAAATCATTATAGAAGATGAGTTCCTGGTTGCAAAGCACCCACAGAGGTACAGTGACTTATAAATGGTTCCAGGTAAAGCTTCTGTGATGGAAACAGGTGTGATGTGAGGAACATGAGTATCCTTCCTGTTGGCCACAGCAAGAAAGTCTTCAGCATTGTTAAAAAAAAAGAACACTTATGCAGTCTTGTGTGCAGATCATCAACCATTTGCATGAGGATTTGAACCAGCACATTTTTCTCTGCAAGCTTCCTACAGGCAATTGTAGATCACACCATGACAACACTAGCCAACCACTGAACACAGCTGGTTTTAATGGTGAAGGTGGCACAGACTCACCTGGTAGTGCTGCAGATGGTAGAGCGTAGCAGAGCGGTTGGCGTAGCACAGAGACAGCTGCTCCGAAGTACTGGGAGCAAAACAGATGCCCTGTAATAACAGGAGACAGTGGAGGTAGGGGTTTATGGTGGGCAGTGTTTTCATGTTTAAGGTGCTTAATATCAAAGGCATGCTTACACTTTTAGAGTCAAAATAAAATCCAGATACACCTCAGATGTAACAGCGATAGTCACCAGCGTAGTATTTCTTACTTAACTTACATCAGAGCTAGTGTTTCACATTGTTTCACTCTGTCAGTGTTTACACACCACTCTGCATTTAATCATTGGTTATTATTAATCTCTGGCTTTATTCCACAGTGTGTCTTTTGTCCTGTCTTCCCCCCAATCACTCCAACCCATTGCAGCATATAGCCACTCTCTTACTGAGCTTGGTTCTGCTGGATGTTTCTTCCTGCTAAAAGAAAGGATTTTTTTAAACTGAATTAAAGTATCTAGGGTGCCTACAGTCCCAGAGTAAGATATAATATTGTTTCAAATTTACCTTTGAATAGTGCAGAGCAGCTGCAGTGTAGTTTTTAGTCTTGAAGCTGGAGTTTCCCCTCACCCTGCATTTGGCTGCTAGCTCTGCATCCTTCTGTACTGAATATAGTGCAGATACTTGCTGCAAGAAGTCCAGATCATCTTGTCTGCAAAAACAAAAAGAACCCTTTAATAATACACAGAAACACAAAATAGGTGCAGAGCACTGTTCAAAAACTTTTCCTGGACTAAAGTCCTGTTCAAGTGGTCCAAGCTGTTGCAGCCGCCGCAGAACTACCAGTCAGTGTAAGGTTAATAAAATTGGTTCGTAGTCTTAAATTCATTGGTACTACATGAGCTGAACTGGGTGCTTACCTCACGAGACTTAGACCACATCTGAAAACGTCATCTATTTCAAGCAGGGACGTAAACTGTTCCTTTAGTTTGGGCTCGAGAGCGCGCCACTTCTGTGCCACGTGATCTTGCCACTGAACGCACGGCAGATTCATTATGGATTACAACAGAACCGCGTCACCCTGCTGACAGGACCGGAGAGTAGTTTGGGTTTGTTTTGAATCAGTTTCACATGAGCTCTCAGCGCTCTCAGCACAGCTGTCACGTTAGAGTGGACCAAACTACAGTTCCCGGCAATATCTTTCACAATAAAATCAAAACTGCAAACCCGTGGCTGTTCAAAGACCATCCTGTATGTGAAAATTGAAAAAATATTCTCCTTATTAGGTTAATGACACAATTCAAACTAATCACATTGTCGTAAAACAATATTTTTCGGTAGTATCCAAAAATAATTCTGAAGCTAGGTTTCATTTTAGAGGTTATAAAATTGCTTTTCGTGACTATTTTCAAGGCGCTTTTCACATTTTGCACCGGAATCCGATGTGCCATATGAAACAATATTCAAATGCTTTTGATATTTGTAGTAATTCTGTGTGAGGGCAGTATTTAAATAAGTAAGTTTTGGAAACATCTGTTTAAAAGTAGTAACATAACTCTCCATACAAGTTGGATTACCTTTGATGTTATTCAGTGTTGTTGCCCCTCGCCTTTGAAGTTTTGTTTTATTCATTTCTGGCTATTATACAAATACACACATAGTGGTGGTCACAGCTTTGTTGAATCTGTTTGTTGTATAAATACAAATAATAGGTTTTATTTATCTAAGTATTTTTAGTAAAAGGGGTGTTGCGTTGTTATTATGCAATATTATTTAAATGCAATTTAGGTAAATGCTGCAGATGTAGTAGTATGTATGTAGTATGTTTAGTTTTCAGACCAGTGCAGTAGCTGCAGACTGAAACTGTCAAATTAATATAATGTAACAGATTGGCAAAATAGTCAATGTCGTGCAGTAGCCTAGCATATCGTTTATTTTGAAGGCGTAAATGTGACATTTCCGGTCTTTTAACGTCTCGGCAAAGTATCGTTTGCCTCTCTCCTATCGCGATAAGTGTCATGGCTTTTTTTGGAGCTACGTACCAGAAAAGCTAAACTCTGCAAGCTTTGAGATAAGCTTCACACGAGAGACATGAACGTACCTCTTACAAAAGGGGCGGTTGAAGTAAGCATAAACCTTAAACTGACTGAGCTGCTGTATTCTCTTTGACTCCGTGTCTCAAGCTTGATTGTGGTGTGGTGTAACTTCAGGCTGCTAGCACTGTGCGCTAATGTTTACCTTTGGTCCTAATGGTTCATCAGCGGTAGCATTACCAGATCAGTTAAAAAAATAAACTTTGTTACCGGTTGATTTAAAAAAAGCTCTAAGAGCAATATTTGTGATGAAGAGCAAAAACAATGAACAGAACAATCTATTTTTGGGCTATAATGACATTTTAGCTCTCGACAGTTTTTCGATCATATTTGACGTCTAGAGAAAGTGTTTGTCACTATCCACACGAGAAACAGAATAGATGGCAGTTTGTTCAATGGTTGTTACACTGTAACTTTGCCTTAGCAACACTGTAATATGTAATGAGGACAAACAGGCAGTTGGAACTAACGATGGCCATGTGTGTTATTATTGATGTCCAGGCCCTCTGCAAAGGCTTAGATGTGGACAAGCCCGTGCTGCAGCTGCTGGTGAGTGGCTCTGTGGAAACCCACTTGTATTTCAGATTACATGATATGCATAGAAGGCTCTATTATAGCATAAGTACAGAGTATATGTGAGTATATATGAGTTATAATTACAATACCATCTGGAAACTAAAGAATTTAGTTCTATTTTTCGACTACTTATATTTTTTTTTTGCAGTGCAACTTGACTTAACATTCAAGCACAAACACAGAATAAAGACAGCATTTTTTTTTTTCAATTTTGTGAGTAAAGGTTTAATGTTAAGTATTCTACGTGTATTATTTTGCATTATGTTTAAATACAACTATATATCATTCAGAAATTGTCACTAATTGTTTTTTCAATGCAAACATTTCTTGTTAGTGTGTGGGATTTTTTTTAATTTCTTTTTTATATTAACAAGCCAATAGTGGGACATTTCATGATTTATTCAGTTCAATTAAATGTAATTTATATAGCACCAAATTACAACAAGATTAGTCTGATCCAGTTTTATGGCGAGTATGCCAGTGAAAATTTTGTGGTTTTATCTTTAATAGTTGTTGAGATCTTCATGTTCAAACATTTACTCAGTTGCCAAAATGCATGCTGCAAATGGATCAACAGACCATTTTCATTATCTTGAAAAGTATTTGAAGGTAAAATATCTCTGTAATCATTATAAATTTCCAAATGTCTGATCATAAAATCTTTATGCAAATCTGACATAGTCAAGCAGAAGGCTCACGGTGTTTGGAGATTGAATGATCCAGTGATGTCATTGTGAACTTGAAACACCTTTGCCATTGCAGATGGAGACATAATAGAGATTGTACACGATGTATCAACAAGAACCATCTGATTTCAAAATGCTTTAATTCCACAGCCACATACTGTTAGAAAGAGGAGATTTGTGAGTTTCATGTGGTTGCTGGTAGGTAGCAGTGACTACAGACATGCTCACAAAAGTATGAGACAAGTTTAACTCGGCAAGGAATATGTTGTATGGACATGTTACATATAGAGGGGGACACATTGAGAACTTGTCAACAGTGAAAGTTTTGTATGTAAAATTTTATGTACAATCCATGGATTTTTTTTGTTACTGCAAGCTTCTATTTTCATTACCTGATTAAAAATCAGATGATTCTTTTTGTTACGCTCTGTATTTTTTCAATTCTTTGTTAAATTTGTAAAATGAATGAGCTCGCATCTCATCTTCTGATTTCATTGTATGACGGGCTCATTTTGAGCTGAGGCAAAGAGTGTTAACTCTGTCTCATGTGATAATCTCCTCTTCATCACCTCTACAGTAGATCGTTTAGCATCTCATCTGTCCTCTGCTCTCTCCTGTTCTCTCCTCCTCTCATCTCTCCTACTCACTAAAACAGCACAGTCAGCACATGCAGACAAAATGCCTTTTTTTTCATTAGTCTGTGTTATGCCTGTACTTGTGTGTTAAACAAACACACATCAAACACAGGTGTCCACTGTACCTGTTTTGTGATTAGAACGTTTGATAACTTCTCAGCTAGGCTAGCTAGTTAAACGTTTCCCTTCTTTACCACCCAGAGCTTACAGATGAGGCAGTGGCGCCCTTAGGTCCTGACTCATCTGCTATCTCTGTGGAGATGTTCGAGGCAAAGGGCTGTGTAAATAAATGCCTGCTTGTTATAATTGATTTTATTGCTTCTTTGCTGTCATGTGTAAACAGAGCGGTTTAATGATTTCTATTAATATATCTTGGGACCTTTTGTTGTTTTGATTTTGACATCTTTCCTTCCCTCTCTGTTTGTCAGAACATCCGTCAGATCAGTAATGCCTCAAGCCCTCCCAGGTTCCGACTTATGATGAGTGATGGCCAGCACTCTCTGACTTGTGAGTGTCCTCCAGTAGTACAACAACTTTTAAATTTGGAAGTGACACCAGAAATAAAAGTCAAAGATAATGTGCAGGTCTTAAATACTGAGATATAGCCAGTTAAACTGTGATATTTCTTTTTCTATAAATTATATATGAAAGTTTCTGTGTATTTTTGTGTCTAGCTTGCCTGCTTGCTACCCAGTTAAACTATTTATCTGAAGAGAACCTCCTGGTACCAAACTGTGTGTGTTTGTTGAAAAAGACCATCAACAACACTTTGGCTGATGGCAGGTATGTGTTGACTCTTTATTTCCTTTCTTCTTTTGTTTACTCATGTTTTCCCATTTGGTATAATTTTCACTTTGCTCCTTTTTTTTGTTCCAGGCGTGTGGTTGTTGTTATGGACATGGATATATTAAAGTCAGCAAAGGAAACTGGGGGGAAGATTGGAAATCCCACTCCTTATAATACAGATGGTATAGTACTTTTAAAGTGTGCATGGATGAAGGTAAGAAACTATAATAAAAAGCCTCTGGAAGCCCCTCATGGTGTTTGTTCCACTTTTAGGTAAGACTTCATCTCCACAAAAGGTGTCATCAAGTACCCACTATGTTCCAGAGTCCCCTCCGTCTGCTGCCATGCCTGGACCCTCCTATAGGAACTACAGCTGTGAGTTTTTTTGTCAAACACTTTGTATATGAATCATGGTAATATAAGATAATACTGCTGCCATTTCCTGCTTGTTATTTAGTCACTTGTGTGGCAGAAGCACCTTTTCATTGTGTTGACATCAGCACTACTTTATATCTCACTGTATCAGAATAAATCACTTATAGTGCAAAACAATGTCTTTTGAGAACCTGAAGAAAAAGTGAGTGTACTTATTCATTTACAATATGTGCCATCAATTATATGATATGCAGCACTGTGCAGATGCTTTGAGGAACCCCTCATCTCCTCATATTTTGCCTCCAAGCAGCCAGATTTTCTTTTAGGTTTTTAAGGTGGTCTTGAGCAATAGTTCTCGTGTTTTTTTTCCTTTGGGTGTTGTCTGCATTTTCTATATTTTTTCAGTCAGTCCTTGTAGCTGAGCATTTTTAGAGGAATGTTTTTTTTGAGCCACTTACACAGACCTATCGATCATTCATGCATAAAACAGCAACTTAGCTCAATATATGAACCAGTTTTGCATCTGCACATGACAGGCAACTTAGCAAAGAAATAATTTTAATTAGTATTTGTAGTTGAATCCCCCAAAAAAACAAGCCAAAATTTGAGATGCATAAAGTGGTAGTTTTGCATAAGTAGACGCAGGATCCAAAAGTTGCATCTGGCCCTTCATTTGAACCATCTACTATTCACTGAAGCCTCATCAGAAATGGTCTCAGTGGAAGGGTGGCTGTCAAGAAGCCATTCTTAAGGAAGGTAAACAGGGAGAATAGGCTGAGGTGTGCTAAATTAAATAAGAACTGGACTGAAAATATATGCCAACAGATCTTATGGAATACAAATGGGACATTTTTGGTCAATATTTATGGAAGAGGTCAGAAGAAAGGTACAACAGAGAGTGTCTACAGCCATCTGTAAAACACAATGGCGGCTCTATCATCCAAATGAGTCCTTTGAATATTCCTTTAAGAAGCCTGAAGAACTATTCCTGAAGACTTCTTGAAGGAATTATGAGAAAACTTGCCAAAGATTTAACATGTTTTAAAAGATGTGAGAACTCTGTCCGTTAACTCTCGAAAAAACAGAATTAAGTGAGTTTGCACATCTTTCAAAAAATTTACTGCAGCTATGTCCCATTTTCCTAGCAGAATATAAAGAAATGAGGAGTGACTCAAGACTTTTGCACAGTACTGTACAGCCATGTTTAACTTTATCGCTATTTGCTATCTATTTCCTCCCTCAAAGTGACTCGATCTGCTGTGTGTGTGTGTACTGCTCACACATTCGGGAAACAACAGCAGTAAAAGCTTTGCTTTCAGAATGATCAGGATGAAGCTATTAATAGTAAGGCCAAAAACATGATCCAACAAGCTGCAACATTAAGACGGCCTGCTATATATAGTGTATGATCCCGTCATGCTGTGTAAAAAGCTCTGGTGTCATCATGTGGTGTTTGGTAGGACACCACTGGGTTGTGGTTTGGGGCCTTTGTGGTTTGGGCTTGTTCTGGTGAATCCAGCAATTGCTCAACATGATTGGTTAATGCCTTAGGCCCTTTTCAGTGTTCCTGGTGTCAGTACCGAGCAGTGGGGTGCATTGTCTGGCTGGAGGAGGCCACTGCCATAAGAGGGATTGTGCTTGGTCTCTAACATTATATATGTAGGTGGTGTCAAAGTGTGCCAAGGCCTGAGGTTTTCCTGCTCTTGGATTATGGATATCATTACTTGCTTTGCAGATTACAGTATTTAATTACCTCACTGATTTAAAACAAGTCCTAATTTAGCCGTACTTACCACAAGGTCTTTAATGAGCTACAAATCATTTTTGTCATCTACAATTCATATATTGTAGTGGTATAGAGCACCTAATCATGTGTGTATAATATTAACAGGGAACAAAGGAGGGTTTTGTTTTAGCTTAAACATACAATATTTGGTCCAGTTATTTCAGGGACAATTAGAATATTATTTCTTAATAAAACCTAATCTTGCCAACAGAGGGAGCCAAGCACCCTTTAAGCAAATGCTGCTGACAGTTGATTTGCAGTCTTCTCACTGTTTTCACCCCAAACTGCAGCTATAATTTGGTGGAGAACAGACTTGGAAAGACATTGCTAACCAAACAGTACATCCTGATGTCCATCCCTTTGATATTCATAGCAGTTCGGTGTTCAAAGGCTGTAGTCTGGGGGTGGGTTAAGAACTAGATAAAGCAGGATCATAAAGCACACTGTGGTAGCCACAGGAAATGCTAAATGAATGGTAGACTGAAGTCGCTTTAGTCTAAGTACCTTTTTTCATAACACGTTGGGTACTTAAATCATATTTACAGCTCAGCCATCAGAGCGGCAAACTATCTTGTTGCCCACTGGCCACTGGGGGAGTCCATAACTCACTTCTTCCTCTATTTTACCACCAACCAGAGTTTTCTAACATTTTAGGAGCCCCAAATGATATTCGCTTTCCTGCCACAGTAGCTGTTGCCATGTATCATGCCTAAAGTAGTCTGCGTTTTATTGGATCTGCTTTTATTAGCTTAGCCTTTGTTTCACTCAGTTGTTTTATACCACCACCAACTACGCTTAGCATTGACATTGATTTTGTTATGTGGCAGAAACATACCCGATAGTCCTCCCCGGTGGAGGGTGTAGGCATGTGGGTGGATAATGAGTGCTTAGTATATTGCGCGTGTTTGTGCATGTGTAGGTGTGTGTCTGTGTGCTCGTGTTGTGACTGAGGGAGCTTGTGTGGGCCGGTGGCTCCTCCAGTTCATGGCTTCATGAATATTGTGTTGTGGACTGAATCCTGTTGTAGCAGTGCTCACGGAGAATCGGCGCGGGGGGGTTGAGAGAGAAGTCAACTAATTTGACTCAGCAAAGACGAGGCTCCGCATTAACTAGTTCATCAGACTCCTTTCCTCATTACATCCTTTGATCTGCGTTGCTTCAAAGATTCAACCTGATAGATGAAAACTGCTCCTCTATTTAATTGTTCTGTTGATGAAGGGGTCTTGTGCATAAAGTCTCAAGCCTTTTCTCCTTTTGAATGCGACTTAGTGATTGATTGTTTCATTATTTTTCTAAATTGCATTCTTACTAAGTCGATGCATTTTTGAGCTTTTCCAAGACTGCTAAATGCCACAAATCAAGCATTTCCATTGAGCTTTGGGTTATGTAATGGCTCAGGGGGCTGTTGTTGTATTTGAGGGTTTTGATTCAAACCTCTGTGCAGACGTCCCAGTCTTTGAGCAACATACTGACTCCCTGGGTGCTTCCATTTGGCTAACTTGGCTCATTACTTCTTTCAATTATGTCTCTTTCTTGTACTGTAGCTCCGTGCAGCAGGGATCCTATTGGCAGAGAAGCCTAATATGCAGTGAAGAGACACAAAGATGTAGGATATGTATTTACCAAACAGCACATCCTCTTTAACTCTTACACCATTTTCACGAGATGGCTATCACCCATGTAGAAGTAAGGTTAAGAAATATTAAAATAAACATTTTAGAGGTATTAACTGAAACTCTACGACTGCTGCTCCGGTGCTTTATGTAGATACATATGTAGATATATTCATACATTAGAGGAGGGATGTCAGACTCTCTTTACATTTTGGGCCACATACACTACACTTTGAACACTTAACCAGTGAAACGACATGATAAATTGTTAAAATTACAGAAAAAGTTCTAGTAGCTCCATGCCTAGACTGGTTTTCTTAATTCTCAGAAAATGTCTTTACTGTGGACCCACTAAAAAAAAGGAAATTTCTTTAGTTGATAGAGGACACCTTTCATGTGGGCCAGAAGTCTTTGGTGGGACAATTCTGGCACCACTGCATTAGTACATAATGAAACAAAACCCATTACTAAAACAATAGAAAAGGATGTCACAGTGAAGTTTATTAATGGTTGGGCCAAACAATAATTCAACGTGCAGCTTTATACGACATACATTTCTCCTGAATGAGCCCAAATACAAAAACTTAACATACATGTTATCCATTTAAGAACTGGAACATATTTGATGATGCAAACCTAAGATCAGTTCTAAAATCACAGACCAGAGGACAGAGAGGACAGAGGAGTGAGAAAGTGGAGGAAGCGTACAGTAATTGGCTGAATGGAAAGCTGCTGTAGGCATTGTGCTCTGTAGAGACTCCTGACCTTTGACACCTTGGGAGTAGGAGGATGCTGTTAGAAAGACTTTTCCTGTTGAAGATTTTGTGGCATTTATTTTAAGTGTTTTGAGCGTCTAGTTGTTTGAGAGCACCTCTTAGGTTCGCAGTCCTCTCTCACTTAAACAGAACAGAACAGAAAAAAAAACAAAAAAAACAGCAGTAGGTGTGAAGTCAGAGGCCACGACACATTTGTTACAGGTAGTTCTGTGCTCCCATTTAAATATTCATCAGCAGCTATCTCTTGAAATAGAGTCTTCTCAAACTGCTTCGTAGATGATATTTAAATTCCAAAAAGATATCTGCACTCACTAAAGTGCGGTTAAAATAATATCCATAATTCATCACTAACCATTCTCTGTAGGTTTCTTTTTTCCCCCACACAACTCTTTCCCTTTTGCCCTCACTCTGATGAACACACACACACACACACACACACATTTTCATTCTTTCTCATTCACGTTCTCTTTTTTTGTTATTATTATTTCCTTTTCATCCATACTGTATATTCCCCTCTTAGTGTATACTCATCACAGTCCGCTCTTTAACAACAGGAACTGTCGAATATGGTATTGGCATACATATTAGAAGCCTGCATTGATCTAAGCCACAGAAAACGAGCATCCTTGATAAAGCTCTGCCCCCTCTTTGCTGTTTTTCAGTCCATTCCCGATTCCCACCACCTATCATCTCCTCATCTTCTCTTTCGCCACCAGTTCCCTCTTCCTAACTCTCCATCCAGATAGCGTGTGTATGAATATTGATGTTAATTACCCCTCGGCTGAAAATAGCTGTTCAATCTGTGAATTTCCCCAAGGAATTTGATCATGAGGTGCACACACACACAGAAAGGAGGGTATCATCGAGGTGCATATTTGTTGTGCTTTACAACCGGAGCTTAAATCAGAGGGAGTGGTCTCGGTGGACCTGATTCGCTTTATCCCTGAAAATCCCCGCACACCCTCCTTTCCAAAAAATACTGCTGCTCAATATGGCATGTTATTCCTGCCAAAAGAAGCAATTGCATAAAAAATATTGTGTCAGCAGATAAGTGTTTGGGTTGAATCATACTGATGGGGCTGATGCTACTTCATTGTGGGAGGTGAGATAGCACCTTATGAGTCTGTGGGTTGGTCCAAACTGTTGTATCTTGCAAAGAAGAACACAAAACTTGTGGAGTTTTTTTTTTAAATTTTATACAAAGAAAACTTCGTCTTAACTTAAAAAAATACAGTTGTGTTGATTTATTTCTATGTGAAGTAGTTAAATTAGTCCTGAGTTGAGTATGCAACAAAGACAGAAATAAGATCAACACTGCAAAATTAAATTCCATAAATTACATATTATGCTATTGAATCACTCTCAGCTTGAGTAATTACACATTAGCCTTCATATTGATATTTTCTGACAATTTTAGCATTTAGTGGTTGAAGTAGATACATTTTATGTTCTGTTGAGCATTACACAGGACGAGAAATATGCAATCATTGATTATTAACCTCCCATATTCTCTCCTACTGATCTAGAATAACTGCTCTGTCTTTGACTCAGTCTAAGTTAAAAAATAGTTATGGCGCATGAACATAATTAAGGCAAGTATGTTCGCTTTCTTGGCCATGAGACCGATAGTCTGATAACTAATTCAAATTATTCTTTCTCCTATGACTGAAAGGCACGTACAGATATAGTAATTGAAAATTGAAATGAATAATTGATTGGCAGCCTTACCCGAAGAAGAAAAACATTTTTATTAATTGGCACAAACCGATGTTAACAGGGAATTAAGTAACTCTGAGCATGCATCTCTGTTAGGAGAATTTAACTTTTTCAGGCGTTTTCTTATTTTGGCAGCTGCTCACAGATCAGATGATAATACTACCACTAATGTTTAATACCAGCTGAAATTTTTGGCAGCGTGTTTCAGATTGTATTGCCTAATAGCAAACTGGCAGGTGCTCTACCACTGTAGTTGGGCTAATAAATACCTCACAGTGGTTGGAGCTTCGATAGAGTTAATGAAAAACTATTAACAAGCTACTTTTGCAACATAAGAGACATAACTTATGCAGGTATTAAAAAGAATGGAAACTAATGTTTGGTAGTCTCACCGGATGTGGGATCGTGCTACATACGTTAATAGTCCAAGTCTCAAACCTATAAATCATTAGTAAAATAACACTGAGAAAATCAGCAAGTCTTCTCATTTCAGAAGTTTGAACCAGCCAATGTTTGGCATTTCAGTTTGAAAATGGCTTTTGTGGTGAATCCATTTTCAAGATTGTTGATGATCTCTTTCAGCAATATTAAATTACCATGTTGTTAATGTGCAACACTCTTTTAAGTATCTTTTTTGTGTTTCAGCTCCCAGAGGCAGAGGAGGAAGTTTTACGGGAAAAACACCCATGAAAGCTTCTCCCATGAAGGCCTCAGCTATGAAAGCATCACCCAGTAAGGGCTTAACTATGAAGGTTTCACCCATGAAAGCTTCGCCCATGAAGGCCAACAGCGCTTCTCCAGGTTCTTCAGCAAAAGTGAATCCTATTGCAAGCCTCAACCCCTACCAAAGCAAGTAAGTGGAAGTGATCTCGGTCTAAATTTGCTCACTTTTATATACATCAGGGGTCTAAGACTGATTTTAGCATGCAGCTCAAATGTATTTTAAGTTGGTCAGACCTAGGAGACAGTGACTATAAAACAATAAAGACAACCAAATGTTTTCTAATTATTTTAGTGTAAAGACGAACACTTAGATTGTGAGGCATTCAATTTTAACTGTCCAGTATTTATTTCCACATTCAGTCGTGTGTCATTACAAAGAAACAGAACTGTTGGAACGAAGAGACGTGCTGACATGTCTCTGTAGCTTAACCATCTTACTTTGGTGTATTATGGCGGGCGGTAGATAGTGTTGTCGTATCTCAGAAGAATATAAAATAGATAAATCAAACATCTGGGTAAAAAAAAATGAACAATTTGGACATTTTGCTGTGGGCAGGATTGGACCTTTTAGTGGCCACTTGTACCTTACATTAGACACCCTTCACATGCATGTACTGTGTGTGAGTTAAGTTCTGTAGCAGATCATTGTAAAGTTGTGAAGTTGAATCTGACCCATATTTCTTCCTAATATCCAAACAAACTTTAAGCTGTATATGTTTATGATTTCACTTTGATTTTGTTGCTTTTCTGCTCATCAGCTAAACTACTTTCTCTCACGCTGCGACTCTGCTTCCCCGCTTGCTACCATTTCTTGGTAGCACTTTGGGGCATGTGTTGACGCATGCATGTATGAGCATTCTTTTTTTTTTTTTTGCTCACAATGTGTGTGGCTGTGTGAACTTGAGTGTGCATATGTTATACAACCCATTTGCATGGAAATGAAATGAAATGACCGATATTGCCTTGGAAACGGACACTTTTGCAGCAGGTACTGCTGGGTCTTTATGGTCTGCTGCTGAGGTTTTGATTTTGTTATTTGGCCCGGTGGGGATTTGGCTAACCACGTTTTTTCCCCTTTCCTTCCCTCTTACAGTTTCACCTCCAGGGTTCCCTTTTACTGCACCCTCCCCCCCCACCCTCATGTTTCTTATCGTTTCATTAGGCATAAGTCTCTGTCTCTGACCTTAAAGTTAGCTACAAAAAGACAAGAGCACAGCATAACAAGCTCTAGTTGTAGTGAAGGCACCCTGTCAACTCTCTCTGTGTTTGGGCACTGATAACGTAGCACTGTTTGAAATTGCAGGCTGTAAAGATAACTGTGCCTCTAGGTGTTGTAATAAACTGATGACTGTTCCTACTTTGAAGTTGGGGAGTACCTACAGTGAGTAAAACAGATGACTTCAGCAGATGTAGTCCTTCTATGAACATTTGGGTGAGATTAAAAATGGAGGTTTGTTGTCGTTGTGTGACACAGTGTTACATGCAGTGGATTATATAGTGATGCTTTCTATGTGTGCAAGGTCTTTTATGGCTGTTCGCATGGCTTCCCCCATCCCATTCTGGTGTTGTTAAGTAAAAGCATCTAGAGCAGACTATAATTGGCTTTTGACTGTCATAAACCTTGGTGTAGCAGTCTTATCCATACTGAGCAGGAAATAGGGTTCACTCGAGGCCAGCAGCTGCTCTTATGATAGGGGATTTAATTGCAGGCAAAGTTATAGTAAGAATATCCTCCACTGCAAAATTATCAATGCAGTCAAAAAGAATCCTGCTTCATAAAGCGCAGAGCATGGCTGGCTGTTGTTAAAAACAGAACAAGAAGCACATCCAGGACTTGGCAGATGTACAACAACCAGTTCATTCTTTGAAAAGAAAGTTGTGATATGCTTTATTTTTCCCTCTCACTGAACTTTAAAAAGACTGTGAGCCACTCATTCAATTTCCTAGGAAATTGTTCTTTTTGTGCAGTTGTGTTACACATTGGTGACTGATGTGTGCTGAGCTGGAATGCTCATTAACAAAAAAGGAGGCTTTTTAAAGTGTCTGCAGTAGGGCTGTTCGATATAACGATATGTATCGGAGGACGATATAAAAACGTCTATCGTTTCATTTTACGCTATCGTTTGTTTCGTGGTGTCACAAAATAAACTGTTTACGGCAATATTTTCTTCATCGTTTTGATGGTCACTGTAGTGGCTATATTAATTTCTTAAAGTTCTCTCTTTCTCATATATTTAATATAACCACACTACGGACGGACAAGCGCCTGTTTTTATGGGTTGTCGTTAGCAACAACGGCGGTAAAACCATCGCATGTCCGCTTGTTTATGTTCCACATAAACCTTTCACAATAAAGCTCAAGATCCTATTGAGACTTTTTAAAATAAACGGAATCACATGAAAAAGTATGCAGAGTATTGACGGTTGAGAAGCAAAAAAAGAGTCGTCACGTGCTAAAAAATAAACCTTAGACTCAAACGTTAGAACAGGCTTATCCCCGCAGCACGCCGTGTAATAAATACTCACAAAGAAAACGGCAGCCGTTACAACTTATGTCTAAAAATGTATAGTTTCATGCATCGGTTAAAACACTCGACTCCAGGTACATGACGCCCAGCTGGAAACACTTCACCTACCCGAGATTCACAGAATTTACAGAAAATATTAATTTTTTTGTGATTTATATCGTTATTGGGACGATAGAGGTTTTATATCAGGATATAAGATTTTGGTCATATCGCACAGCCCTAGTCTGCAGTATTATTTACTGTTTGACCTTTAGACTTATTCCTTTAGTTAAGCTTCACACAGCTGTGCTGTTAAAGACAACTTATTTGCAGTAATTTGTTATTTTTAACAAAGTATTTATATTAAATGTCCTGTTTGCATTTGCATAATGAATATCTGATGATGGAACACGGTGGAAGGGATTCGTGTATTTACAAGGTGCAGGGCTTTAATGAACCAAGGATTTTTATTTGACAAAAATTCTCCACTTATAACGTCTCATTCATTCATACAAGCACTTTTTATACAAGTGCTTTCTATCTAACATTCACAGTCTAATGAGTGCATTAGGAGCAACCTACAACAGTAGGTTAAAAGTAAATACTGCCCAGAAACTGAGCTACCTTGGTGGAGGTTTGTGTGCTTAAAACAAGAGTGCTTCTTTTTTTTTAAAGTGAAATCATACCAGCAGACTGAGCAATTTTTCCATTCATACAAAAGAGGAAGTTTCACATCGAGCTTGGTCTAGGTGAACCTAGACCTAGTCTGCTACCAGCAGACACTGGAGCCAGTGAAGCTGTAGCTGTAGCCTAAAGCATCAAAGATTAAAGTTGGTGGAACATCATAATGCAGGCTAGTTACAGTAGCTTAACTTAAATGGATCAGCTCTGTATGGTATAGATGCTTTTTTGCCTTATGAAAGTAGCACCGGTGATTTAGTGACCAATTATCGGGCCAGATGAGAGCATATTGACCAAACAATTGACAATACTTTGGTAAGTAGTTAGTGTGCCAAGGCCAGTGAGTTCTCAACAAGTCAGTTTTTCTATGGTTTGTCATCTAAAATAACTTTGATGTAGTGTTAAGAGGATATATTTTTGACATACGACTGGCATCCTGTCCAGGGTGTACCCTGCCGCTCGCTCTATGTGAGCTATGACAGGCTCCAGCCCCCCAGTGACTCAAAATTGGATGGATGGACGAATGGGCTTTAATACAATCACTGCTAAAGACAAAATTATCTAGCAATCAGTCTTTTTATAATATACAATAATGTTAATTGTGTTTTATAGTCACAGAACAAAATTGCTCTAGGAGGTCTTGAATGATTAGTGATTTATCAGTCACTGATTAATACAGATTCATTTTTATTTTTTTTCCATAGGTGGACTATCAGAGCCAGAGTCACCAACAAGTCGAGCATTCGCACGTGGAGTAACTCCAAAGGAGAGGGCAAGCTCTTCTCCTTTGAGATAGTGGATGAGAGTGTAAGTAGAGGAGTAGAGAGGTCTTATTAAATCTGACTGTTGCATCTTAATATGGTCACACGTGGCTGATTTTTGCCTTCTATGTGCAATGAAATGGTGTTAAATGGAAACGTGCTTGTCAACAGGGTGAAATCAGGATCACTGCTTTCAACAAGGAAGTGGACAAGTTTTTCTCTCTAGTGGAGCAAGGCAAGGTGAGCAGATCCCAGTCATCTGTATCCATCCACACTTGAAGCGATAAGTGCTTCCTTGGAAATTTCAGGCAAAAATTACGTTTTACATGTGTTTACACTGAGTTTTATGACTCAAGAGTGTAAAGAAAGTTTGGCGCTTGCATTCGAGCCAATGAATCTGACTGAATACTCATTTTGACAAAAGAAAGACGATCTTAGAGGCTGTAAAAATTGACACACTGCTTGCGGAGTCTCAGGTATTTATTTTGTATGCACACACAGCTCCTCAAACAACATCGGTGAAATACTGCCTAATAAAATCCTTCTGTAAAATCTTCTTATGTCTGGAGGACTTTTCGATTTTATAGGGGAGACTCATTAAGTCATTTTTACTAAAATATATACCTGTGTGTTTGAGAGATATTGAGCAATGTGGATATGTAAGGCTGGAAATGTTTGTAAGAAAATTTAAAATGCGACATTGTGATATTGTTTGGCTGTGGTTTGGGTGTCTTATTACCATTATTGTGTCAGAAATAACTGTTAGCCTGGCTGTTGTTGTTCTTAGCCAGAGGCCTTAAGGCTGACATCAGTGTCTGTCACTCAGAGCTTAAGGAATTGATACAGGCATTACAGATTTAAGTGTGTTCTTGTAAATTATTAAAGGACTGGTATGAATTTTTATCCATCTTTATACAGTACCTAAATGCCTGTATTAGTACAGGAATTTTGTTGGTGACCATAATCATTATTTCTCTTCTTATAAAGAGAGTACGACTGTACGACACTGGGAGTAAAACAGGATTTATTTTGGTGAAAAGCTAATATGATTGATCAGCATTCTTCAATTTATCACTGTATCTTTTTTTCTAATAATCAGATATAGTTGTCTGTCTCCCATGAATACTATAAATATATGAAAGATACCCATGAAGCTGACATATTTCAAGAAAATCTTATGGGCTGCTAAATATTTGTGTACATTTACCTGCAGATGAATAATCTAGATGTTGCTAGATTGCTAGATGTTTCTTTATCTATTTGTTCCCATGTTGCTTACGATTTGTGTAGTCTTTTGTCTTATTCATCCATGCTTCTGAAAAACTGACTTGGCTACAGTTACTCGAATACATACCCAAAGGTTTACCCTTTATTTAAAGATTCAGTCTAGTGGATAAATCCTGTGGTAATTTAGGTATAAAAGAGGCTTTCGTCACACTGAGTTTCATTGCACTACAAGCAATGTCTCTTTTCGCTTCAAGTTTAGAGGGTGAGCATGATTAAAATGACCAGTAACCCCCCTCAATGTGCAAATGGGCATGTATGATTGAATACTAGAAAGTCGAGCACTGATGCTTATGCGTGTCTCTGCCAAACCAGATGGTCTTAAAGAATCTTGGAAATATCGTGTGGTAATAGGATCATCTTTTGACCAGAGGGCCCTGGTTCAAACCCCGTGTCATAAAGTATCCATATTAGAAATAAATGCTACGCCTACAAGCTCCAGCTGCACTCACATAACTGACAAAGACACTGATCCTTGGGCTTACTGCAGGGCTGCAAATCATACAAGATATTTGATCAAATTTAAGTATGGTTATAAAAATTCTAAATGATAGTAAGGAATAATTATTTATTAATTATAAGAATTTTATTAAATCATTGCATCTTGCTTTCAAGTGGCTACATTCATAAAAACACAATCAGTGAGACAGATTCATGTAATAGTGCTGCAGATAAGTAAAACAATCTTTCAAAAGTGGATACAAATGC